TCAAAACAATCTCTTTGCTTTCACAGCATAAATAATGGCTGAACTCACTTCACTTTGCATGCCCACTCATTAAGGTAATCTCTGATCATCCAGATCGATGGAAAGTACTGGTTTCCCGTAACATTCCGTCTTGTCACAATTATAACCAACCAATCTAATGGAAATAATTTAACCGACACAATACATACTCTATTACTACTAAGCATTCTGAATAAGTACAACACTAACATAAAATAACCTACCGGTTTGCTTGCTTAACGAATCCACGAATGAGTTATTAATATTACGGTCTGCAGCCCGCAATACTGATAAATCATCGTTGTCTCGATAAGTAGGCAACCACTCACAAAGATATAACATTACTATTTTGTCACTCAATGCAAAATACATACACTCGTCTCAACTACATTTATTTACTACTCTCTAGGTAATAACAATCATAATAAGAAATATATCAGCCGAAGTCAACTAGAATGACCAATACGGCTGATTCAACTCTTATCTCAATAATACGTCGGCCGGATCCACTCCGCGTGGTCGGTACGGCCGAGCCTATAACTCACCAATTTCTCATGTGTCAATCGAATCCACTTCTCATGGTCAGTACGGCTGAACATATAACTCATCAAATCTCTCTGTACTCACGGTCAATCCGACCAAACTACTAAATCCATAACTCTGCTGAATCAACACTATGATGTCATAGAAAACTGTTGGGTACAACTGATTCTAGGGACGATTCACAATTCTGTGTCCCCTCTGTTCACATAAACACATTCATTAATTTCACACTTCCCAAAGTGTTAATTTTGTACCTGCTGCACAAAGTACATTTCCTTTACTCGAGACACCTTGTCTTAAATATCTGGGATTACCAGTATATCCATCACTTTTACTCTGACCAGCGACATTAAAACCTCAGCTGGAAGAATTAACTCTAGCTTCACTTCTTTCGAAGCTCTGAATCTTTCTATATATCCTTGATATGACGAATCATTAACTTTATCGTCTTTTCTTTTAATTCCCATTCACTTTCCTTATACCCCTTCAAAACAAATAACACCTCCACCAAAAACAACAATATCTGGATTCTCAGGCAAGTCTGAAAACTTCTCAAAATCCAATCAACCATCTAGCTACTCTTTGCTTACTACCATCACCAAATACTGTTTTCTCCGGTAAACAATTAAAATTCCTGTGACAACCACTCCTTTTTCATACAAAAACCCTTAAAAACGTCTCGACCCCTTGTCAGAAAAGATTCCTTTGAATAAATTTCCAAATGAAACAACCTTCAGGTTCAATTTCAGGTGATTCAAATTCGAGGATAATCCGTCAAAATGTCCCTTTTTATAATAGATTGAATCACCATTAATAGTTTTCCCTAAACCGCTAAATAGGGAATAAAATACTTTTCCCTATCGTCTAACTGTGAATTCACTAAAAAACTTCTCAAAATGTCCAAAGATTGCAAACCATGCTCTGAACCATACCAAACACACCCCGTCCCGAAGGAGGGCATGCTGCTCGTCACGTGAGAGTGACGTAACCATTTGCCACAGTACGGAAGCTTTAAGATACAATTTTAAGTTAAGATACACCCCGAAGGTGAGTCCTAATTTTGTCCAATCTGTCAGAACACCGTCGAATTCCTCGTAGTCACCACACCTTTGTGATTCCTTCTGAACCTGGAGGGGCGCAAAACCAAAATTGAGTGGGGTCAGTAAAACAATTCTTTTCCAAATCCAAACATTTCTCAAAACGTTGTAACCCCTCTCCGTAAAACCTGTATACTTTCCCAGAATGTAAAATATAAATATACATATATATTCTCAAAACTTCATTTTTACTATCTCAACATTTTTCTTTATCAATCATGCCATGCCATGTCTAATTCAACAGTTAAATATGGATGCATCAACAATAATCATATCAGGTGCAAGAAAGTAATCAACCGGATGCCCTCTAATAGCCTGTACGGTTGAACCTAGAGCTCAAAATCTATCACTATCACTCTACCGGAGTCACCTCTGTGACCCGTCCGGCCTTCTGCACACAAGTTACGCTCTAGTGCTTTCTCATTAATCATCTGTGCACATAATCTAAGGTCACCCACCAGTCGAAATCTCACTAACACTCTTCGACTGGCCCGTCGCACCCACTCCGCGTGGACTGTGCGACCAGCATCTACTTGGATCCAAGGCGAGCGTGCGATGCGGTGAATACTATAAGCACTAAACCAAGGTGCAGGATTTGAGCTCAATATACATCAACATCATCATAATAGTAATTAAATACTCACCTGATACTCACCTGTGCGTCCGCCGCAACATTCATTCATATGCATCTCAAATCATACTTTTCATATCATTTCATGCATGGCAATTCAATTTACATTTCCATATATATTTATATACTTCTATGCAAATGATCTTCAATTCATACGTTTTCAATAACATTCTATATCCTTCATTTAAAACATAATTTCATCATTCTAATTCAATTTCTGGGAAGCGTCAAGTATATATATATATACGGAAAACAAAACTCACACAGATTACATCGACGTCTCGTAAGTCCCTGAGAATCCCTTGGCCATGCCCGATGCCCGCATAAACCTAAACAAAAGTAACCATTTTGACGTTATTTAACGCCTAACCCAAAATCTTAGTTAATAACTCCTTATATATTGCTCAAAATTGGGTATATGAATATACCACAGTGACCTACACAACCTCAGGATCATCCCCATATTTTTAAAAATAATTTTTGGAGTCCTTACGCGCCCCCACGCGCCTGACGTGGCACGGACCTACGCGCCCCCACGCGCGGCCACGTGCCAAGCACACTGACGGTGTCAATTGACGCCGTCAGGAATATTCCGTTAAAACCTAACCGTTCCGTTAACGGCGTCAGGAATATTCCGTTAGAACTAACGGAATATTCCTGCTTCTTCTCCGATGGACTCTCGCCGGACTCCGGTCACCGGAAAACTGGGAAAAATTTCTATTTAACTATTCTCACTCGTTTTTCGTCCATTTTTTTCGTACTTTATACCAAAATGAAGCCCTAAACACCTACTATCACGTTGGAATGGTTTTAAGGTCTAAAAACAATGAGATCATACCTTTCCAAATTTCACAAAACTCGGCCAACCTCGAAACCAGTGATCCCGACGTCCATTTTGTTCAAACGAGGCACTCCGAGCCTCCTCGGGACTTCCTAAGACTCGTGGTGATCTTAGTTTGGCCTAAAACACAACCAAATCAAAGTTCATGAACAGTACATAATCACGGTGCTTTAAAAACTAGGGTTTCTCGAAGTGAAACTCACCTGAAACTTATACCCCCGTGCTCGTGAAGTTCCCAAGATCACGATGGTGATCTTAGATTGGACGTTGGTGTAGGATTGTGGTTATGCTTGGTGTTTGCCGTGAGTTCAAGTGAGTTCGAGAGTAAGAGAGAGAGAGTGTTTCTGAGGGAGAGCTGAGGAAGAAAGAGGGAGTGTGAAAGACAAGAACACGGGAAATGGGGAGGGATTTAGGGGGTAGGACCCTACCTAAAGTCCAAATACAAAATATTAACACATACAATAATAAATCTAACCCTAGTTTAGGATGTTTTTAGGTAAAACAAATACCAAATTTACGCACCTTAATCCCGTTTAAGGGCGTTTCTGTAATTTCACGTCATCGGAATTAAAATTTCGGGACGGGCTGTGACACCGGGGGTCTGCCTTAATTCATGCTAAGATTCTTGCTTATCCAAGTGTTGCCAAAAGAGAAGAAACATCTTCCATCTTTTGTAGTTCGCCATCGTCATATCTACATTTCTTCAATTTTCGTTTCTCCTTAAACGTCGTTTTATTGTATTTTCTACTAAATATAACGACTTAAGATGCTTTGAAATATGTTTGTCTCGTGTTTTCTTTGATATATTAAGTTTTAACTACTAAACGGTAAATTCAAAACCTACATCAAAACGCAAGATTAATGTGTAAAATATACATATGAAACATAACATGTTCGAGACAAAAATAGGATGGTTCTCACATGAAGTGAGACTAAAAACTTTTTTTTTTTTTGGCTAGAAAGCCTTATAAATGACGTGGTCGGCATCTCGACTCAAGTTTTTCTTTGTATATTATTAAGCCATGCAGTCGACACAGCCATGATTCACGGCAAGAGTCGGAGACTTCGATGTAACGTGCCACGCCACAAACCAACAGTCGATCCGCAATGCCAGATCCAGGACAAAGTATTGGCCAAGAAAAACAAGAGGACTTTGATGTAGTAATAATCAATTTTATTTTTTTTGGTTTAAAATAAAGTGATCTTACCGACAACCGACAGATGTGGGATGTAAAGAAAGATGGAGTAGACTTTATACAGTCTTTTCTACTTTGATCACCCACTGTTTCCCGCGTACACGTTGACGTAGAATGGATATGGTATCGATGTGTTATAATGTTTGTTTAGATGTCATTTTAAAATGTTTGAAAACGTTTTTGGATAAATTGATTTTGAGTTCCAAAATCATTTTGAGTGCATTTTAGATGAAGTATCAGATATGTGTTTCTTGCAGAAAATACTTAAAATGTTTTTTTAAGATTCACTTGAATTTTTACTAAGGATTGTTGTAAAAAAACATTTTCAACAAAAATGCTTTCAATCATTTTAAAAGCATATCTAAACAAGCCCATAAAATTATACGTAGCTACGACATATCGACTTTCGTTGAGTACAACACATATTTAAAGGTTGTATTTAATATAATGGCTTAAACTGGAGTGAGTAATATTATATTTAATCCAACACACAAATGTGTAACAATTGAGTGCATGTAGAATCAAAAAAATAGGTGGCCGATGGTCAATGTACTTAGCAATCAAACCGCGGATAAACTCTAATATTAGTTGTTTATTTATTTGAAGAAAGACGGGAAAGGAAAGGTCGTCTTTTTTCCTGTTTTCCTTATAAATAGGCACACATTCAGCTTCATATCTCATATAACAAACGCTGCACAGAGACGTTAGAGAGAACTGCTTGTTTTAGACAGAGAAGTTAGAGAGAGAGAGAGACTGAAAATGTCAGGAATCATGGGCAAGATTGGAGGTGCCCTCCACATTGGAGGCGACAAGGACAAAGATGAAGACCACCACAAGGACAAAGATGGCGACCACCACAAGGACAAAGATGACCACCACCGCAAGGAGAAAGATGACCACCACCACAAGGACAAAGATGACCACCACCACAAGGACAAAGATGACGACCACCATAAGGAAGACGACGAAGATGACCACAAAGACAAGGGCGAGAAGAAGAAGAAGAAGAAGGACAAGAAAGACAAGAAGGACAAGAAGGATGATAGCAGCGACAGCGATTAATCCGTCGCATGTGCATGCATCTGCCCAATAATTAGGTAATTATTTCATTAGTTGATTTCATTTTTGCTAATCCACAAAAGAATTTTGATTAGTTAGATTTAAGAAACAAACAAAACTAGTCATTAAATTTTTTGACAAATGCTATTTTTGAAACATATTGTTACTCAATATTGTCCTGTTACAAGAATGACTTCACGTATAATTTTCTTTTATTGGTTATGAGATTTATCTTTACAATATGACCTAAATGTGAGCAACACATGGTTGGCCAGGTTTAATTAATTTGTTAGTTAATTCATTTATTTGTTAAGTTTCAATTAATTGTTTATCTCTACCTGATTATATATGTATGATTTGCCCTTGTAGGTGTTTGGGGCGTCAAGAGAGCATGCTCAACTCCTGTTTCCTTTACGTCGCAGCCAATACTTAAATTTCAAGAAGAAAAAGGCTTGTTTCACAGCCCAACCAAAAACCAAGAACCAAAAAGAATGTGTGTATTTGCTGAATACTGTTACTAGCCACATGTAAAATGTTTCTGGCACGTTTTGAATATATGATTTAATGTGAAACCTTCGTAAGCCTTTGATATGAAATAATATTTTGGATGAATGCTCACTGCTTAGTATTATCTGTGTTAATCGTTTTAGTTGTTTAATATACTCTTGTATTGCCAATCGTAGTAGCATTTTTTATTAAAAAGACACTAAAGTATCATTTTGTATTAAAATATAAGTATTTGTCTCAACTTGTAAGTGAGAACTCTTTAATTTAAATCTCGTGAATGACAAGTTTAATATACATTGTGAATGACGAGTTTAACATACATTTTTATTACTAACGTTATCTTTGAAATGAGATAGAAGGACCTTTTTTTAATTGCATTCCAAGGCTAACAAAATATTTGATAGAGTTAAATAATATATTATGTGGAGGAGTGGCCAATAAACACATGCTTCTCATTTTTTGAAGATGATTAGCTTGTCGAATTTTTCTTCGATTTGTCGTGTGTTCAGGACATAAGCAATGCACCCAAATACTCTTAAGATAATGAATTAGTGATGTCTTCAAGCCATAAGCAATGCAGCCAAATACTGGGAAAAATTAAACATGCGTGTTGTTATTTAGTAGTGAAGAAGTTTGGTATTGTACGAGAAGGTAATAAACTAAATGAATATGTAAGCTTTTTATTTATAATGGTTTCTGAGATTGGCACAAAAGTTATCATTTTGGTTTTTGGCAATGGAAATCAATTGAAGTGGTCCATGAGTTTGTCCACGGTTTATTATTTTGATCATTTCATAAAAAATCTGTCAATATCCTCATGTACTGAAGGGGTTGGTTTGACAAAAATACCTTTAAAAGGTGGTCACGTGATTGTTCACGTGACAATTTAACGATAATATTAACATTTTTCACGGAATGATCAAAATAATTTACAAAGAACAAACTCAGGCACAACTTCTATCGGTTTTATAGTCATAAACCAAATGAACTATGCCATTTTCATGGTTCATGTAAAATAAAAAAAAGCCGAATATGTATATAGCCCAAAGTAGTTAAACAATTTACCCTAGACCTTAATGTCTTGGTTCAACTCCCTCCCTCTTTCAATATCGGTTACATAAGAAAAGAGAAATCCAATGAAATTTAGACCCCAGACACTATTTTATTATTTTTGTTGTCAAACACTTTGAGTCTATGTCGTGTGATGGGGGTGAGGGATTTTGTAAATTACATTAAAGTTGTCACACTTGATATGATTTTTTTTCAATGGATTGGGTTTGTTTGGTAAGGAGGATTGTCAATGGATTGGGTTCGTTTGGTGAGAAATTGGACTGCAAAATAGTAATTGACTTTAGTGTTGAATCGGATTAAAGAGTAATTATATTAACATATCCCTTTATTGGAAAGGAATTGAATTCCATTCGGATTCATTTTGTGGAAATTTTAGGGATTTTCATATCTTAGTCATTCATTTTATATCGTGCAATCAGAAATCATTTGATTTTTTTATTTAATATTAAATACAAATAGTATCTGACGAAAACTGATCGCACGATATACAATGAACGGTTATGATGTGAGGATCCTTCGGATCCCCACAAAGTAAATATAGAAAGAATCCCTTCCCAATAGGAAAGGAGTCCTTATACTTTTTTTTTTTTTAGGAAAACTAATGAAAATGGTTTGAAAATTTTAAGTTTTAACGATAAAGACAAAATAAATGGTAAAGTGAATAGTAGCATGTTTGACTTTTTAGTGTAAACATGTGGTTTTTCGTTAAAGTGAACAATACCATTGGTTTTTCATTAAAACTCTTTCTTCTTTTTTTATGGTAATAAGTACTCTTTTATTGTGGTCCAAACTACATGTAAGGGAGCGGATCAACCAATATGTTAATTTATGCATTAAAAAGCACCCCATATGTACATAAGAAAAACATATGTGCATTTTTGTTGATAAAAAGAGATTTTTTTTTTAACTCATAACAAATAACGGGTGAATTGAATTTTCAAATCGGCATATCAATTGGGTTTAGCCAAATTAATTAGAACGATGTGCTTCATTCTTTGCACTTAAGTTTGAATTTTTCACTTTTGACTTACTTTTTTTTTACAATTTAAATTTTCTTTTTCTAAATTTGTAATTTATTATAGCAATTAATATCGTTTGTTTTAAAATAAATATTCAATAAAAATAATAAATAAAATAAGTGTCGGCAGGAGTTTACAGTTTCTTTCAAAAGAAGCCACAATAAATAAACCGCACACAGAATGCAACCACTCGCAGCAGCAAAAGTAAGATCGATGTATAGGTGTCAATCTAGTTGAACAAAACCAACAAATTAAGACAGAAAAAGAAAAAGATCAGAGGGACGGTACATCATACAAGCAGCTAAATATATTTCTACATGATAATGTTAGAGAGATCATATTTCTAAACTAAATAACGTGGATATTGATAATTGAATTATTATTTAAATATCGATTAACGTGCTTATTTTTATTAATAACACATCATTTAATTTGTAAATTTAGTTTAAACATGTGGTCTCCCTAGCATTATCTTTTCTTTATTTTTTTAAATGGACAACTGATGACAAGTTATAATTATTCATCTCTTATAAAGACCGAGAAGACTGACAATGACATTTCAGCCTCTGCTAATTACAGGTGAAAAAAAACATCAACCCTACCCGTTGTTTTCCTTTTTCCTTCAATGAAAACAACCTAAACCAGTGGGCTGCAGCTCAATGCCTATATATATATATATAGACACATACATAAACAGCAACCGTTCACCAAAAAAGAAAAAAACAGCAACCCTACATTATTCACCACCGTCTCAACTTCAACGTCAATTCAAGCACAAGAAGTTTAGTTCTACTCTCAATGGCTTCTCTTGTACTTCTGTTGTCCGTACTAGGGCGTCCCAGGAGTGACAACACGGATCCAAGTAACTTGTGGGTACTTCCCCCTTCTTCTTCTTCTTCTTGTTCTAATTCTGCCGCCGCAGCTGCCACCTCCGCCGCTTCTAATTCTTTTACTGCCGCCATAAAACCGCTGATTAGAAATGGGAGCTGCAATTACCGTGAGAAAATGGATTTGGTGGATGACTATCTGCAGTTCGAGTCAAGAGTTTCTGTCGATTCAGTTTGGCCTTAGAGATCCATGTCCTGCTTTGCTATCTTCAAAATCTTAACTAATTTAATAATATTTGGGTCTGTTTGTATTTTCTTGTTAATCAGTAAGATCCTTTTAGGTTCTTTCGTGTTTTCATATAACTCTTTCAAGTTGCAACAATAAACTTGAATGCAATGGCTTCCTATAGAACTGCACAGAGACACATCAATACAACAGGTTGGGTGCATTTTTACTCACCATCTTTAAGTGGTGATAATATATTAATACTCACCACCATTTGTTATGACTTTAAATTTTGAAAATACTCACTATTCTATTTATTATTATTAAATAAGTTTAAATTTTAAAATTTATATATATTCATCGTACAAATTTCGAATTTAAACTCATTCAACGATCATAAATAGAGTTGTGAGCAAAAATATTGTTTATCATTTTGCATCTCTCCAAGTGACACGTCCTTACAAATACAAACTGCAACTTCATGAAAGGTTGAGAATGAGGAGTTCGGCTAAGTCACACAATAAACAAACTTAATTTATTATCGAATTCGTCATCCACGAGGTTCCAACTTAAAACTTCTCACTAGAATAAGAATATCATCAGACCGTAGTACTGAGTGACTGAAATGTTGCATTTCTAATTAAACTAGAAATGGACCTATTTGGTAACCATAATTTTTATTTAGGTTTTATTTCTGTTTGGTAATTAATTTTGATTTTTTAAATTTTCAAAATAAAGAAAATTGATTTTAAAATCAAGTCAAAGTTTAAAATCTCTCCACCAATATGCACATCAAAAGTAACATTTAAGTTAGAGTTCATTAAGTTAAATGATCTAACAACTATTTTCAGAAATGTGAAACTCTCCTACTAATGTTTTTTGGGTAAATTACATTTTACCCCCATTAGGTTTGGGGTTGATTTCAATTTTTTACATTAAAACATTTCAATTTCATACATTTATTTATCATTTTATTTCAATTTCATACATTCGTTAGAAAATCTGTTAAGTAAACCGTTAAGTGATGACATGGCAAATAAAGGGTTCCCATTTGTGCTGACATGGCTGACACATTTATGCCACGTGGCTAAACATTTAATAAAAATTTTAAAATATTAAAATAATTAATTTAAAAAAGCAAAAAAAAAAAAAAAAGCCAAAACCTAGTTCGTCTTCCCCATCCATTCTCCCCACCCGAGCACACCCTCAACCCAAATCAGACACACCCTCTCTCCCCACCCGCAACCCCCAAACAACCCTCCCTGCCTTCTCTCTCCACAATCGACGCCCACGCAACCCCTTATGCCATCGCGAACCCAACCGATGAGATCTAGGTCTCCTCATAGACCCGTGGAGTGCTTAAGATCTCCTTGAAGAATGTGATCCATGACGCCATGACCTACACTAAGCATGCCAGGAGGAAGATTGTGACGGCGATGGACAGGGAATATGGGTGGGGATATCAGACGGGGAAGGTGGACGGAGAAGATGGTTTGGATGGAGAAGGGAGAAAGGGTGATGGGTGTGTAGGAGGGGGAGGGGGAGGAGCGTCTTAGGAGGGAGGTGGAGATGGAGGAAGAGAGGGAGGAGTTGTAGAGAGGTGAGGGGGAAGGAAGGGGATATGGGTGTGCGTATGAGTTTTTATTTTTATTTTTATTTTTTTTATAGGGTAAATTATTATAATATTTTAAATGTATAAAAATTATTATTTTTGCCACATGGCACAAATCTGGCAAACACGTCAGCTCTTAACGGACCAATAAATAGAAAATGTAACAGATGTATTGTATTGAAATAAAATAGTACTTGAGGTATGAAAATGAAATGTTTTGAAAATATTGTATGAGGTTGTAATCAAACCTGAGGTGGTAAAGTGTAATTTACCCTTTTTCTTTTGCTCTCCTTTCTCGTCCATCAATTAGGAGCCATAAAATTTGTGGGCTTGGGCGGGGCTATGATGGGCTTTTTTAAAAAA